TGGTTTCCAATGCACCTGCTCTTAGGGAAGGGATAACTAATAGGTTGAGATGGGCTGCAGATACATCAGAGCTCTTCTCTGTTGCCTTTGTTTATAAGGGGTGTGAGTTGAGTCTTGTAAACAATAGTAAAATAACAGATTTCCTTTGGAAGAATGTCTCTCCACCCAAAGTTTAGGTCTTTGGTTGGTTAGCTTGGAAAGGCAGGATTAAGACTTCTTGCTATCTCCAAAGAATTGGAGTTCTCAGTGGTGGTATTGATCTTAGATGTATTTTCTGTAAAGGTGAGGTGGAGAGTGTCAATCATGTGTTATTATTTTGCCCTTTTACTTGGAGGATTTGGTATACAGTGGGTAATGCCTAGGTCTGTTAGTTGTCTGTTAGTTGTCTGTTAAACTGGTGTAGTGGTATTAAGCTCAAAGACCAAGAGAAGGTGATCTGGAGAGCAATTCCCCTGGCAGTGCCATGGTCGATTTGCAAACCGAGAAATGACAACATTTTCAACAATGCTCAGGTGGATCTTGATGGTTTGTGTGAATCCATTAAGGTTAGGATTGCATTGTGGGTTAAATCTTCTTGCCTTTCTATCAAGTACTCTGTTAATGACTTAGTTCATAACCTTCAGCAAGTTAGACTCTGCATATGAGGTGGTTCTTGAGTTGTTTAGGAGTTTTCTTTCCTTGTTTAAGTGGAGCCTGCTGCAGTTGCTAGGTGCTAGTTGTTTTGCTGGTGTGTTCATAGTTGGTTATGGTGCTTTTGGTGTTTGTTTTTCTCTCTTTCTTGTTGGTTTCTCACCAACTCTGTGGTTGTGCTAGCAAATGATTGGGTATCCTCCTTGGTGCGAACCTAGTTGGGATTGGGGGGTGTACTTTGATGCTTTCTACAATTCTTTTTCTTTATTGATGTATTTTCATATGTAATGTATGTATTTTCATCAATAAAGATTCTTTTTTGTTGATAAAAAAAAAAATGCATAGCTGTGTCATTCTTAAACCGCATAGAACAAAGCGAATGACATAAAAAGTTTGGGTAAACTACCAATAGGTCCTAATAATTGGACTTAATTCCCATAAAGTCCTATTGAAAATAAGTCATAATAAAATCGTGGCTAAAAATTATTTTTTGCGATGATTTTTTGTATGTGTCCTTAAAAATTGACAATTAGTGACTTTTTGTCACGATTTTTATAAATTGTCGCTAAAACTTACAATTAATGACGTTTTTCTGTGACGAATTTTTCAAACCATCGCTGAAAATTAAAATTAGTAACGTTTTTAATTGTTATAGGACCTATTAGACAAAAAGTTTACCTATTAGGCCCTACACACAAGTCTCCTAATTTTTTTTTAGTTTTTCTAATTATTATTTTTACAAATGACAAAATAGTTGCCAAATCTATAGAAGAAATGACACTGTTCACATAGACTCGCAACTCCAAGCCTACGCTCCATTTAAACATGTGTCCCTTTATAGTTTGGAGACTTACAGCTACAGTAGCTAAATATTGTTCTCAGAATCAAACCAATACAAGCCAAGGCTTTTATTTGAAAACCATATTTATACTATGTTTGGTTTGAGAATTTGAGAAGGGATTTGGAAAGGAAAATGAAAAAGGTTGTTGAAATGTGAATAAAACATACCTATATTTCACCTAGTTTCATACACATTTTTCTTTTCTCTTTCCAAATTCCTCCCCAAACCCCCCAACCAAACGTAGCATAAGAATTTCTACATACAAACACACACCCCTGCAAAGTTTCATATAAAAAAAATTCCTATACATTAAACACCATTGCATTAAACTTTAATTCTACACAACTTCATCGTTCACCAAATTTCTTCTCTCTCTCTCTCTCTCCCCTCTCCATTCCTATGGATGCAGCAACTACAAGAATCAACAATGTTCTTTGATGACTTGTTGGCTTCAAAGTTGAAAAGAAATTTCCCAGCAAGTTTTAGCTATGAAGCATGAACCTAATAATGACCTTATATGAAAGATGTATTCAACCTGCTTATGTCAACAAATTTAAAGAAATCATAGCATTGTTGTTAGGTTTTTTTTATTCGCAATCTCGTTTGACAAAACTCCTTTCAGTTGTAATTTATTCATTCTTTTATTTCAGTGAGGCTATGAGTTTTTAAATGCGAATCCAACTTGAATTACGCCTATGCAAAGGAGTTTGTGATCTTAATCATATCATGTTTGCCACTTCGCTGACTATGTCAGGGATCGAGCTGCTTGATCAGCTCGCGAGGGGTTGAGAGGGCAGCGCCCAGGCAGGGTCGAGGGGCAGTGCCTTTGAAGCAAAAAGTAAAAATGCAGTCGAAGTTGCTTGACCGCTCTAGTGGCCATTTGTGTGCTCGAGCGAAGAATCTTTGGTTCTAGAAGTTTGAACTGTCTGTAAAAGTACTGAGAGTTGTGTTTATTCGCTTGAGCGGCACTTCCTACGCTTGAGCGTAGATCCTTGTTCTGAAACACATGTTTTAATCAAACTACTCGAGCGGCCATTCTTGTGTTCGAGCAGAGATCGCGATTCTATTTTCTATAAATCTGCGATTAATTCAGTTTCTAGGGTACGGCTTCCAGATTTTCTTCTTAGGTATTAGGGTTTTCATCTGGAGCTTCTTTGCTTGTTTCCTTTGATATCTGTGAAAGTTTATAACATGCGTTGAGTGGATTATATCAAAGGGTTTCTTTGTTTTGTTTTATTCACAAAAGAGAGAGTTGTTCTTCGGTGGATTTTAGGGAATTTGGGCCTAAAGCTTTGGTGGATTTCGAAGTGGCTTATCATTATGATTCAACATCGGCGTTGTGGATTCAACATTGGACAAGACAATTCTGAGGTGAAGACTGTGTTAGAAGAGATACATTGGGGTCAGTTCAATTTAGGCATGGATTCGCTAGGTAATTGAGAGTATACTTGTGTAAAATTCCTTTTTTGTCTTCTTAGTGGATTGTTTTGTGGTTTTTGGCTTGTGATTTTTTTATCACAATTGGAGGCACTCCAATTGTGGTTTTTTCACGTTAAATTGTTGTATCGAGTAGTTTTTGATTGTTTGATTAGGATTGTTATTTACTGTTTAAAATTAATAGATAATTACAAATTAATATCTACGAATTTTTAGATTTTTCAATTGTAATCAACTACTAGCCCACAATATATGAATAAAACTAACTAGTGACTCAATCCAAAAGGCGTATAAATGCTTATATAACATGTAAATCAGGAAAAAGTACTAATGAAAATATCTCTAACTAGTTTATAGTTAAAATACCATAAATAGTTGTACAACAATCTCTGACATTGGCAACATATAAGCTTTTCTTTTTCTCTCAAAATTTAGATATAATACCACAAATATGAAACCAAAAATGAAAGGCATAATAAAAGAATCTGAAGAAACAATTCAACTATTCTAAATCGTGGACACATTTAACTGACAAAAAACCATCCACACCCAGCACAGCCTTTTTACATTGGACACCATCACATACAATTACTACAAAATCAAACCAACTGTGAATGAATCTGAGAGGGTTATTTATGATCTAGCAATGGGCCGAGCTAGTTTGATCCGGAGTCAAGGCTCCTACTCGGTCGAACGTTGGGTGCACATTGGACTGAGGTCTTAATCTGGTTAAGTTAGGATGACTTTGGGCCACTAGTCCGATGAAGATATGCATTCAGCTGAGTTGGATGGAACTTGTCCTTAGGAGACCAAATTCGGTCAAATAGAAGCTCAATCGTGACTGTGGAGCTCGGTTAAGTCCATATTCAGGTTTGACTGACGATACCAAACGGGAAACACAGCCCCAGTGGGAGGGGGAGCCAAAGCGGTGAGTATAGCTCAGTTGGGAGAGCTATGCGGTGCGATGGAACTGCAGGAAGAAGATCCTGCCGTCCATACGCGTCAATACTGTTGGCGGTTTTCGTCATTTGGTGTTTAGCTGTATTTGCGCTGACACGTGGAGAAACGTAAGTGGAGGGCAGGTCCATGCATCCAAAGGGGAATGGACACAGAAGCGTGCGCATAAACTATATAAACGATGTTGTGCCCCCATTCACAGGTCTGGAACATTTTCTTATCAGAGCTCACCTACCGCTTTATTCTCTCTATCCCTTCTCTCTATCTCTCTCTGAGTGTGCTAACTTGATCGTCAGAGGGGTTTTCTGACAGCACACTACCAGGCAGCTCACTGTCTTTGTGTTCTCAAGTCAATCAGAGGGAAGCGCAGCTTGGACACGAGGAGTACGAACAACGTCGAATATTTTCTCCCCGTACAATTGGCGCCGTCTGTGGAAAACTCTTTGACAGACAAAACCTTGTCTTTCAAGCTTTTCTGATCATCTTTCATGGCGAACAACGACGACATTCCGCTGTCCGTCATCAATGGCATCACTCCGGAGTCCGTTTGGAGAAGAGACGGCCCGCCAACCATTCCGACCATGGCTGGCCTAGAGACTTTTTCCGGGAGGCTCCCCAAAGATGCGCAAGACAAGTGTGCAGGAAGCACTGACCATTCACGGAATCCAGGTGGGCACTGGGGACGAAAAGAGTCCCACATTCAGCGCTTGGAGCATAAGCTGAGAGACCAAGACACCATCATTCGGAGGATGGCGGCAGAGATGGAGGCGCTGAAGTAACAAGTCAAAGGGAAAGGTGTTGCTGGAGTAGGTAACCATAGTGAGCGCACCCAACCCTGCCGTTCAGGAAGCCAGAACCAACGGAGGACACCTTCCCTCTCCATCACCAGAAGCTATGGGGTTTGTGATTCTGACCCGCCGAAAGAGAAGTTATACGCATGAGCCAACAGCTATCGTCCATCACGTCCATCAACGACATTGAGATACTCTTACTTTACCCGTTCGGAGGACCTGCGAGACGTCTTAGAAGACAGCGGGAGGCACAAAGGGTGCCAGCATTGTAGAGGTTATCCCACGGAGGTTGTGCCAGCAAAGAGGTCATAATGTTGTCATCACGCCCAATTGTACATGTGCCTATGGATAGAGACTTGGCGAGATTGAGCGCCACCCCTTTCTTCCTTGAGATAGAAACCACACCACTCCCTGCGGGCTTTCACCAGCCCAAGTTTACGCTCTATGACGGGAAAACTGATCCGTACATGCACGTGAGCCACTTCCAGCAAGTCATGGTAGGTTATAGGCGAAACGACACACTTATATGCCTTATTTTCCTATCGCGTTTGGATAAGTTGGGCCTGAAATGGTTCGAGTGGCTACTGGAGAAAAGTATCGAGAGGTGGCAGCAGTTGGCAGAGGCGTTCGTGACCCGATTCAAAGCTAACACCAAAATGCCCAAGGAAGTCGACCACCTTCTAGGCATCAAGATGGAACCGGACGACTCACTCAAGGCGTACAACGCCAAATACTGGGAGACATTCAATGAGATTCTTGATTGTCCGACCAACCTGGCAATCACCCAGTACAAGTGCAGTCTTCCAGTCGGGCATAGGCTGTGAGATTCATTCACTATGAATCAACCAACAACCATAGAACTGTTGATGCAACGCATCAATGAGCACATAAGAGTAAATGATGACGCTTTTGCAGCTACCATGAGGGTGAATTCGGTAATAGCAGACAAAAGGGTGGCTGGAAAGGTCCATGCGGTCAGACAGGAGGCAAACCGTCTGAACAATCGCGAAAGAGGACCTAACTGCGGTACCCACCGCAACAAACGAGGTAAAGGTCATTGCAATGACCAAACCGATTACCCCCGTGACGTCGTAGAAGATGCGAAGATAAAGTTAAACGCCCGAACAGGCATTACCACGGTTTTTAAAATCCCAATCTACTGCATACTTAGTGAAATCCATGACGAGGTAGACGTCCGGTGGACTGCTAAGTTGGGCAATGCACAAAAAGGCTTCAAACCGCGGTATCGTTGCACCTTCCATGATGAGCACGGGCACCGCACAGAAGATTGTGTTTCCTTTGAAGCAACATTTGGAGGAGTTAGTGACAACCGATCACCTGGACCATTACATTGATGGAGGTGTTAAGGTCGTGCCCCATGTTCTAGCCGAACCAAACAGTTTGGCCGCCTTAGAAGCACCCCCCAAGGCGTAATCAATGTAATCCATAGGATTGTCAAGCCAGCGTGAGTATGCAAGCTCTGAGGAGTGATCAAGAAGGCAGAACATATGAGAGAAGTTTTGTCAGTCCAACCTACAGTCAAGAAGGGCAGAATCGAGGTGAAAGATGTTCTCAACTTTTCAAGCCGAGATTTTGAACGCATTCAACCGCTGCACAATGATGCACTGGTGGTCATGCTCTATGTGAAGGACTTTGATGTTAGGCTCATTTTGATCGACCAGGGAAGCTCGGTCGAAATCATGTATTATGACGCCTTTAAGCAGCTCAAGCTTGAAGAGAAAGATTTGGCCTCGGCAACATCGCCGTTGGTTGGCTTCAACTCACAACCGGAATAACTGGTCAGGAAGATAATCATACCAGTCAAGGAAGGGACTGTTGTCAAGGAAGTGAAATTCTAGGTGCTGAAGGTGCCCTCCACATATAACTTGATCTTAGGCAGATGATGGCTTCATATCATGCAGGCGGTGGCTTCGACCTACCACCAAGTCATGAGGTTCCCCTCTGCCACCGGGGCAATCGAAGAAGTTTAGGGCGATCAAGTCATGGCCAAGCAGTGGTTTGTGCCCTTGAATGGAAGCCAAGCTGCCAAAGGCTTCGTGTAGATGATCGAAGATCGAGAAGATCAAAGTGTCCCGGATGACGTGGGCACCAGGGCCGAGGAAAAGGCTGTCGAAGACTTGGTGGAGGTACGGGTCAACGAGAACGATTTGGAGAAGTTTTTTCTGTTGGGATCCAGCTTAACCGCCCAAGAATGGTTAGAGATGGTTGAGTTCTTGGTGGAAAACATCGAAGCGTTTGCATGGGCACCTTAAGACATGCCTGGTGTTGATCCAAACTTTATTTGCCACCAACTCAACGTCTTTCCGGATGCCCATCCTGTCATTCAAAGAACCCGGATATCCACGCTTCATCACGCCAAGATAGTGGCCGAAGAGGTCAAGAACTTGCTTGAAGCGAGCGCTATCCAGGAGGTACACTACCTTCGGTGGGCTTCCAACACGGTCGTGGTACCAAAGAAGAATGGAAAATGGCGAGTTTGTGTTGACTACAAGACGGTCAACCGAGCGTGCCCCAAAGACAGTTTCCCTTTGCCCAGAATTGACCAACTAGTGGATCTTACAGCTAGGCACAACCGACTCAGTTTCTTGGACGCATACCGTAGCTACCATCAAATCGGCATGCATGAGCCCAACCAGGAGGTCACTTCTTTCACAATGCCGAGGGGGTTGTTCTGTTATAGAGTTATGCCCTTTGGGTTGAAGAATGCCGGGGTAACCTTTCAGAGGATGGTTACGAAGATGTTCGCTCCCTTGCTCGGTCAAACAATGGAGGCCTATATTGACGACATGGTTGTGAAGAGCAAATGTGAGGCCAACCACATAGCCGACTTGGCGGAGATGTTCGTCATTCTCAAACAACACAAGTTGCGTTTGAATGTATCGAAATATGCCTTCGGCGTGGGGTCGGGGAAATTCTTAGTCATTTTGGTCACCAACCGTGACATTGAGGTGGATCCCTCCCAAATCAAAGCCATACAAGAATTGAAGCAGCCCAACTCAGCAAAGGACGTGCAATATCTTGCCAAGATGGCAGCCGCGCTTAATAGATTCATTAGTCGGTCATCAGATCGTTATCGCCCTTTCTACCATGCCCTTAAGTCTAAGTTTTCATGGGACGAAGAGTGCGACAGAGCCTTAGCTGAGCTCAAGACATACCAGTCTTCCACTTCGCTCCTTGTCACGCCGAAGAAAGGGAAGGAACTCTATCTCTATCTGGCCATTTCTCAACACGCGGTCAGTGCGGTTCTTGTCAGGGCAGAGGGCATACAACATTTACCAATCTTCTACGTAAGCAAAACCTTGCTCTCGGAAGAATCAAGGTACTTGCTGCTTGAGAAATTGGCCTTGGCGTTGATGATGGCCTCCAGGAAGTTGGCACATTACTTCCATGCACATACGATTGTGGTGCTGACCGAGTTTCCATTGAAAGCCTTGTTTGAACAGACGGACTTCTCTGGTCGGATCTTGAAGTGGGCAGTCGAGTTGGGGCAGTTTGACGTCAAGTTTCAATCAAGAACCACTATTAAGGCCCAAGTTCTGGCCGACTTTGTTGCAGAATTTTCACCTGAGATTCACCTGGTTTGCCCGGTGGACCTTACCGGCGCAACCGGGCTGAGGGGGGTAGGCCCTGTGAAAATTGCAGAGCCAATTCCCAACCCGGTCCAAGTCCAAGCCAATCCTGTTAACAACCCAAACATGGAAAGTGACGTGAAAATTGCGCGCATGACCACAACCCTATCATTGGAAGACCTACCTCGACTTGGCAATACGCTGATGGATTTGGGAATCACAGGACAACCTGTTGGATCCAACAGCACATTGCCAAGGGGGATGAACGCATGCAAGTTACAATTATCGATGGCGCACTTGACGTAGAAATAGCCGAGCAACCGAGCAACTTAGAACACTTGAACCTTCAAAAGTCCCAAGACCTCGCGGAATGTTTGAAGCTTTTTATCAACGAAATGTGGAAACTTTCTGTCGATGGCGCTTCAAACAACCATGGAGCTGGGGTGGGCGTAGTTTTGATCTCACCAGACAGGCTGACCATCGAACATTCCATCGCACTTGGTCTCCCTATATCCAACAATGAGGCCGAGTACGAAGCACTACTTGCTGGACTGAAAAGCGCACTCTGACTGCGAGCATTCAAGCTAATTGTCTACTGCGACTCTCAACTCGTTGTAAACCAAGTGTTTGGGGAATACGAAGCCAAAGATGATAGAATAGCCAAATAGCAAACTCTAGTGAGAGAACAAATCCAGAAATTTCAAGCCATAAGAGTTCAACAAATTGGTCGGGAAGATAATGACCGAGTAGATGAATTAGCCGGTTTAGCTTCCATGGCCGATAAGTCTATCCCCAGCCCTTTCCTGATTGAATTCCTTCCAAGACCCAACATAGAAGACTCAGAGTAGATGGAAGTTCTCTGCGCCGAGCTCGGTCCTTCTTAGATGGACCCCACATCCCTTTCCTTAAAGAAAGAATCCTGCCGACCGAGAAAAAGAGGCCAACAAAATTCGAGTGAAGTCTGAGCGATTTTGGCTCTCTCCATCAGGCGCTTTGTATAAGAAGTCATTCACTGATCCATAGCTCAAGTACGTTCATCCAAGCCGAGTCGATGCGTTTCCTTTCAAGATCCATGAAGCAATGTGTAGGAGCCACATCGGTGAGAGATCTCTTGCCTATCGCGCTATTTCGCAAGGATACTGGTGGCCATGTATGTAGGCAAATGCATAGAAATATGTAAGAAAATGTGAGAAATGCCAGATGTTCGCTCACCAAATTCATCAGTCGGCTAAAAAACATCTTCCCCTCACAAGCCCTTGGCCGTTCATAATGTGGGGCCTCGACATAGTAGGACCACTCCCAACCGCGTCTGGCAACCGCAAATTCTTCATTGCGGCAACAGACTACTTCACCAAATGGGTCAAAGCTAAGCCCCTAGCAACAATCAAAGAAAATGATGTGAAGAAATTTGTCTGGTAGAATGTTATAACGCGATTTGGACTCTCTAAGGCTTTGATCTCCAACAATGGCACCCAATTTGATGGTAGGTTATTCAGAGGATTCTACCAGGAGTTGAAGATAGAGTTCTAAAACCCCACACCGGCCTATCCTCAATCGAATGGTCAAGCGGACGCATCAAACAATACCATTTTGGATGGGTTAAAGAAAAGGCTGGAAAGGGCCAAGGAAAGTGGATTAAGGAGCTTCTGAATGTCCTCTAGGCCTACCGAACTATGCGAAGACACTCAATCGGGGAGACGCCTTTCTCTTTAGCATATGGCATGGAGGTGGTCATCCCACTAAAAATCGGTATGCTTACCATTTGTAGTAAAAATTTTGAGCCAGACTTGAATGCTGAAACCATCGCCCTTGAATTGGACCTTGCTGAAGAACGTAGAGAGAGAGCATTAGTCCACGTCGTAGCATACCAGCAAGAACTCTCTAAGAAGTATAACAAAATAGTTCACCCCAGACGGTTCAAAGTTGGGGATTGGGTTTTGCGGAAAGTCATGGGCCACACTCTGGTGCCGGGCAAAGAGAAGCTAGGGGCAAACTAGGAGATAACCAGTTTGGCGGGCAAAAGGGCATATCATCTAGAGGATCTAGAAGGCCAAGCTATACCTCGGCCATTGAACACAGCCAATCTGAAATTGTATTATTTTTAGTTTAAATTTTCAATGTAATTTTTGTGGATGACAGCCATATCCCTCTATTTTCCAATGTAATTCTTTCAATCGTCTCAAGAATTTATGGAATCTATATACCATTTCACATATGATGAAAGTGAAAATGAA